TTTAAGTGTTTGTTTTATTTGCAAGTCCCTAGTACAAAAATATTCATCAATGATCAATTCTTAAAAAACATAACATAAATGTATTTAATTTTGTTTAAAAAATTTTTAATTTTAGAATTTTGTGTCTATCCTAGTTTCCAAAATCCTAATTTCATTTGTATCGGTTAAAATTTCTATTATTATTTTAATAACAAGTATATTGTATACTTACTCAACATTTTTTTTTACATATTTTGACTTTTTAATCAACCTTTCTTAAACATAACTGTGACCTTTTACTGGTCAAAGTACAGTTCTATTCTAAAATATATAATTATTTAATGAAATTGGAAAATATAATTTAAATGTTATTAGTATCTGTATGAATATTCTTACATATAAAATCAGAATTTCTGAACATAAAAGTATTTGTTACAATCCACAGCTGTGACAAGAGAGAAATATTTGCGGCAAGAAAGAAATATTAAATTGTCGAGCAGTCATTAAATCTAAGGAGGTGTGAAGTATGCTCAATGCTTGTCAGTGGTTCGATCTTAAATATGATTTACAATATTTTCAACTTACATTCGGCATTTATAACATATACAGGTTCGGATAATAAATATTGTGGGATAAAACAATTGAGGCTCAACTTGGTCATTATTTAAATGGAGCTCTTGTTTGTACACCTGACTGTATTGTAAATTTACATTTGTAAATTTTTTTATAACGTACCTTAGTTGTAATTTATTCCACTGTTTATTTGTAAGATCATATTTGGTGCTATTAAATTTTTTCAGTTCACAATGCTTGAAATCTTCTGAAATATAAACGATTAGCATTGAAATGATAGAATTTAATTTATATGTTCACTTCGAATTAGTTAATTCGGAATATAAAATCTGTTTCTAAACGAATGAGATAGTCGTGAATGACTTTAACATGATGCGTGAAAACAAATACACATCGTTAAGATTAAATCGCTACAGAAGATTTCTTTACCAACTACGATTAGGCGTTTCATTCCATGAACCTTTTGTCATAGCACGAAAATGCGTCTTATCGCTCTAACGGGGATCATTGTTAAGTAAGGTACAGTTTACTTAACAGGAGCAATGGTGTAAAAATGATTGTACAAATTCGACCTACTAAATACTACGACACTTTTATATTAATAATTGGTCCAGTCGCTAGTGTTGTCTAAAATTGCCTTATGGAGTGAATGCATGTTTTTGACTAATTTGTGCGCACATACACAAGATAAAAATATAGAAAAATCTATATTAACAATGTCTGTAAAATTAATTGTTTTATGTTCTACATTTTTAATTTCGTATAACGCCATACATTTTTTATTTGATTCAAATCTGATTGCTAAAAAGGTTAATCTAACCCCTTAATGTTATTTTCTATTTTTCATTATATGCAATTTACACTTTTTCTTCTGAACTATTTTTTATCAATGTTACAAGCGTTTTCTTATAAAGTACTGCTCTGTTAGTTTTTAAATTATCCGTTCATATGACTAATGTTTTGAATTCTTATTTTAATCTTAAGAAGCAGTCCTGAACATGCATTTTTATTGAATGCTTAATTATCGTTTGTAGCTGTCACCACCTAGGTAGGTGGTGATCACTTGTACCTAAAAAGAAGATTCATCTGAGAAAACATTACGATCAATGTTTATGCTTGGTTAAACGATTCATTTTTCATGCGTATTATAAACAAGAGCATTTTTTAATTATACTCCTGATTTTTGTTCTTTTCATTTGTCCTGATAAATTTAAACTTTGATTTGAAGGAAATATTTCGCAAACAATTTTCTCTGTTTGTCGTTTTTCTCTTGTACCATGTTTCGTTGAATCGTTAGCTGTTTTAATTTCTTTTTTAAATGCATCATTTGTTTGTTTAATTTTTACAATTATAAAAACATGGTTCTGTTATTCAAGACTTTTACGGTAAGGCCGAAGAACGATATTTCGATGAAAGAATAGTTCTTGAATTATAAAAAGGTTTTGCCAGATTCAGATTCGTTACATACATCGCTCCTCTTGAAAACTTGAAATTTTTGTTGTACGCTGCAATGCCGCGCATTCAACTTCTCATTTTCGATTGAATTACACCTGACAGCGATTTGTACAATTTCTACAATTTGTACGATTTCTACGATTTCTACGATTTCTTCTTTTTTCTAACGTTCCTAAACACTTCCTTAATCTTTCGCATCTTAGCGAATAACCTCGCACGGAACATTTCATTATTTTTAGAGTTCGTTTCGAATAATTAAGATTGAATTATTTAGCTCTATATTTTTATATTTATTAATTGATAAACGTATGTCGCTGAACGACGAATATACTTGTGCGAAGCATTGAAAAGGTTAAACAATGAAGAACGACCCCATTAAACGCTTAAAACTCTATGACTCTATACGAAGGTAAAACCAGCTTTACTTTTGCGGAACATCCCAACAATCGATGACAACTTCGAGCGAGCATGGACAACTTAAAGAAAAAGCTGTCAGAATAAATATTTTTGACGCGCTCACACATTCCAGCTTTGCGGCAGCTTTCGATCTCAATCGTCTGTAGCATGGTACCTGTAACACTCTGAATGGTCTCAGCTGCCTATCATCAGAGTTGAGCGTTACTCGAATAAAACTTTAAATAAATCTTTTCAAAATGTATCCGAATAAAGATTGAGTGTAATAAAAATATCACGCAAATGAGCAATGTAGTCCAATGCATGACCTTATAAACTAATTGTAAGCAACGGCATTAGTGATTACCTTCAAGAACAAGGTAATAGTGATTTTTTCTTTGACTTTTTCAGTATTAAATTTTTTACAAATGTAGATATATTTTTCTGCTATGTATCGTACGGTAATAATAATGATAATAATGATAATTATGATGAAGATGATGATGATGATGATGATGATGATGATGATGATGATGATGATGATGATGATGATGATGATGATGATGATAATGATGATGATAATAATAGTAATAGAGTAATATTAATGATGAATAACATCAATAATAATAAAATTATTGGAATAACGATTCAATAACTGTGCAAATTATAAATACACATGTATGAAATGAAAATGTATTATTAAATAATATTGCTGAACTGACTAGAGAGTTTTATAGAAAATAGTTATAGTCCTTTAGAAATAATTATGCCGTAAAACTCTTGTAATAAAAGTTCCCACCTTCAAAAATTTGATTTTGAAAGTTCTTTTAGTATGTGTACCCTTAAAAACCGTCTTAGTGTGACTACAAACTTTGAAAACAAGCAATCAAGCACAAGGGAAGGTGGGACAAAATGGGAACGCTAAACAAATATTGTTGTATAATTTCACGTTTACTGATTTTGTGTTTGTAAAAAATACTGATTTAAGTGTTAATATCTGTTTATAGAAATATATCAGTATTGATTTATAAAATTCAATTGATAAAGTTCAAAACAATAATTTTGAAAATAGTAATGTATTTGCGCATCTCGCAAACATAGGAGTTATCAATTGCAAACTCCAAACTCTAAGTTAGTTTGAATATTTATTAAGAATTTTCTCGATTAATAAACATATTGCTCCTCAATATAGATTTCGGCGCGCTAAAATCTGCAATCACTTTACGGTAACTCTTTTTTGTATAAGTGTTTTAACAGCTTCTTGCAATGATTCTTCGAACTTACTATGTCTTTCTGTTTTTCTTTTCTACGTTCGAATTATTTGATTTAAAAATTAAGTGACGTTACGAGAGTGTCCTCATCTTGCCCCAAATATTGCATTGAAATTAATTCAATGATAATATCATACTTGTTTACAATTAATATTCATAATCAGACAAAAAATGTAGGAAATTATCTGATAGTAATAAAATAAACATCTTTGAAATTCGTTATTTATCCTGTTAATATTTAAAACGCGTCAAGGAATAATATTACAA